AAATTGTACAGATATAAATTCTATTTCATTGCTATTTTTTCTTTATACTAAAAAGAAACTTAGGCCCCGTTTGATTGCACGAAATTTTCCATGGAATTTGGAATTCGAATTCCAACTTCCACTTTTGGCCTGTTTGATTGACAAAATTTTCCAGGGAATTGATTTTCCATGAATTTCTAGGTACAACACCTTAAAGCGTGATTTTCCACCTTTTTTTTTCCTAGGGGATAGGTGGTTTTTGGTTTTCCACCTTTTTTTTTATTTTTTATTTTTGCTTTTTTTATTTATTTTTTAATTGTTGGTAATGGGAACAAATTTTAGGAATAATTGTAAAAGAGGATATCCCTGAAATTGACAATTTCCACGTAAAACAAAGTCAAACGAACATCAAAAAATACTTTTACTTCAACATTTTCCACGTGAAAAATTTATACAATCAAACACAATAATTTACAATTTCCATGAAAACAATTTCTAGGTAATTCAATTCCTTGGAATTCATTTTCTTTTCCATGTAATTTTCCTACTTGTAAGTTTAGCATAAGCAATTCACATATTTTAGAGGATTCATAACTTATTGTGCAATTTTTATCTACATATTTCATATGACTCACTACTTATACACAGTAAAAAAAAATTTATATCCTTTGTGTTTTTAGAGTCGAGGTCTGTTGTCTAATTTGCATTGCTCCGCTTAGGGCGGGGTTGGGGAGCATGATCATCCCCAATTCTCATCATCGTTTGGAATCTTATTATTATTGTTGTTATTAAGTTTAAATGGTATTAAAAAATAAATTAAGAAAAAAATAATTATGGTAAGCAAATGAGAAAATTTTAATCCCGATCTTGCAATGCCTCTCAATTATTTATTATTATTTTTTTTTTTTAGGGGTGAAAGCCGAGCAGTGCTTGTTTAACTATATCTAGTCGACTTGAAATCAATTCAAAATAATTACAAAACATTCTCAACCTTCATGAACTTTTAAAAATGTGAAAGTATTCAAAACATAGGCTCGGTTTGAGCCACAATTTTTTTTCAAAAAAAAATACAATACACACAAGTTCAAAATTTTTTTCTCATTTTTTAACCACACGTTTTCCATCAATCTACTATTCCAAAATACATTCTTTCAAAATAAGATAGCTCAAAACGCTTATATGCAATGTGTTGCTTATTAGTTATTATCTGCACTAGATCTAAGGTTTTTATTATGAAGGAAAAACTTCAAACATGTAATAACCTCGCACAAGAAAATAAATAAATAAATTAAAAACCACCCTTTTAACCTAACGTCCTTCTTTGCAAATTTCATTTGATGTAAACCACTTGCCAACTTCTAATTCTCCACATGTTCCTAATAACGTGTCCGAGCCCTCGATCAATTTTATTTTTATGTCATTTAAGTATCTGCAAATTTTACTAGATTCACAACAATTTTAAGTATTTTTCTTATTTACCTAAATAACTTTGAGAAAAATTACATAAATGGATTTTTATTATATATTTTTTAATTAAACAATATTGTTATACAATAAACGCAAAATAATCCATCAGAAAGTCATATTTGATCAAACAAAGCTCTAAAAAATTCTCTCTCTATCGATCTCAAACAAAATAGGAGAGAAATGTTGAATTTCTTAGCAAATTTTGACAGAAAAGTTGAGAAGTTTGGAGGCCCTTGGTCTAGGTGAAAATTCATTTAATCGCAACATTGTTGGCTTCTATTAGTTTCTTATCTTCGCTCAAGAATTCGAACCTTAGATACAGCTTTTTGCCCAGGAAAACTTGTAAGTTCAAAGGGTAGCCATAATTTCTTAAGGATTGCGAGGGATGGTTCCTAGGCAACATCGTAAGTTTTTCATTGGAAATAACTTACAACAACGTGAAAAAATCTAATAATAATGTAAGTTCTTCATTATATGCTTACGAAAAATAAAAATAAAAATAATGTGAAATGACTTACAAAAATGTGAAAAGTGGTGTAGCTCCACGTTGATATAGATTTTTTGAAAATAAATTTTATTCAAACTTATTTTTAATTATATGATTTTTTTAAATAAAATAATTTTATACAAGGATTCATATATATATATATATATATATATATATATTTTTTTTTTTTTAACCACATATTCTTCAAAATCTAATTTTTCATAAAGTCTATTTTCAAGAAAATCTACTCAACCACTCGCCTGTAGAAACTAGAAAGATTAAGGGATTTAATTTTGACTTTATGAGTTAAGAAGTTTGGATGAATTCAATATCTATAAACTTGAAATTAAAATTTCTTTCATTTTTTGGGTATTTATTAAAGTTCCAATTTGTATGAATTAAAATTTAGGTTTTAGTCTGAGTTAAAGTTGACAATTACTTTTAATCTCATTTTTAATGGGATCTACAACTTTTCAATAACGCATTTATCGGCTGTTAACAAAATTTATTGAAATTTCAACTTCAATTCCCCACAAAAAGAGAGCATAGACTTTTATAGACAACGAAAAGTCTTTATAAGTCGTGAAAATATTCAATTCAAACATTTCAAATTTTTAGTGACCTCGACTTATATGTTATTGTGTTTTGAATATCAACGGGGACATCGATTCGAAAAAAGTGAAGGATCAAGTGTCAAAAAGTTCAAACGGGATCAAATCGGATGGAATAAATAAATAAATAAAACACGAACAATAAAATACCATGAAACGTCTTTATCGACTTTTAACAAAATCTATTGAAAAATCGATTTCAATTCTCCACCAAACTAGGGCATTGACTTTTATAGACAATGAAAAGCCTTTATTAGTAGTGAAAATATTCAATTCAAACTTTTCAAATATTCAATGACTTCTATTGACATGTTATTGTGTTTTGAATATCAAACGGGACATCGATTCGAAAAAGGTGAAGGGTCAAGTGTCAAAAAATTCAAACGAATCAAATCTGATGCAATAAATAAATAAATACAAAAACAATAAAATACCATGAATTGGATTTATCAACTTGTAACAAAATCTACTGGAAATTCGTATTCAACTTCCCACCAAACGAGGGCATAGACTTTTATAGACAATGAAAAGTCTTTATAAGTCGTGAAAATATTCAATTTAAGCTTTTCAAATTTTCAATGACTTCTATTGATCTGTTATTATGTTTTGGATATCAACCGGGATATCGACTCGAAAATGGTGAATAGTTAAGTATCAAAAAGTTCAAATGGGATCGAATCGGATGCAGTAAATAAATAAATACACAAACAATAAAATACGATGAAAAGACCTCAAGATGTCGATTTTTTTTCCTGCCTCCAATGAGATGGGATTTCCTGCCAAGATAACGAATCCTGCCATAGTTGCCTCTACATAAGCTTCTTCAAACTAAATTTATCTTTATTAATTAGATTCATTATTTTACAATTAGTCTCGATACTTCAAAAAATAAAAATCAATATGTTAAAATAGTTGCTTTGTTAAACTGAAATAGTTTAAACCTGTCGTAAATGATATTTAACTCTTGTCTGAGCCACATTATTTTTATAAAAATGCATTTTTGAATAGTACATTGATGGAAAATGTGTGATTAAAAAATAAGAAAAAAATTTGGATTTGTGTGTAATATTATTTTATTGAAGAATATGTGGTTGAAATAATGTCAAATCACTGTTTAATAATTTTTTATTTTTATTTTTGAAAAAATGTGAATCAAACCGGCTGTTAATATTATTTGTTAATAATCAAGTTTAATTTAAGTTAATTTGAAAATTAAATAAATGAAAGGATGGAGATGGACATTACAATTTAGTTAGTTATGATTCAATTAGACATATGAAAAGTGGGTTTGATGGACATTTTTACATTTTTTTACCATACCTCTATCCCATATTAAAAGTTGAAAAATTCTACTTGTACATAATTATTGTACATAATAATGTTCATAATGCGATGTGACAATCATTCGGTTGTTGATGTGTAAGTGTGAAATTTGAATTAAAAATTGGATCCAGTGTCATGTATAATTATGGACACCATTATGTAGATAATTATATACATGTAGTACTTTCCTTAAAAGTTTATAAAACTATTTGAGAGAATTGTATCTATAAAAAGCACTATTCCACATTAATAATTTATGAAACTATTTAAGAGAAGCGTATCTATAACATGTCATCCAACTTTCCTTTATGAGCATTTGATTGTAGTTCACAAAGCCGATTAATGAGCTTAAAATGTTTTAAAATAACAATTGGCAAAATCCGTAGAACCCCCACCAGTTCACTGGTTGAATTGTAGGTTTTGATCCCATTAATGAAGTTAAAAATTTTTAAAATAAAATTGGCAAAATCTGCAAAATCGTCACCGATTTATCAGTTCATGGTTGAACTAGTTAGGCCGAGTTTGACAACATTGATAGCCTCTATTTGGCACAGAATTAAAAATCAAAATTTTGGTAAATTTTGATAAAAGTTAATTAATGTATAGTTGAAAAATTGTGGGTTGAACTAGTCAGGCCGAGTTTGACAACATTGATAGCCTTTGTTTCGTAAAGAATTAAAAATCAAAATTTTAATAAATTTTGATAAAAGTTAATTAATGTATGATCAAAAAGTCGTGGGTTGTTTGAAATGTATAATTAATATTAATTATTGATTTTGATTTAAATGTTAATAAAAAATTTTAACGATATCGAACTGAGGCACGATTAATATTAATTATTGATTTTGATTTAAATTTTAATCAAAATTTTTAAGATATCAAACGGGGGCTTAATTCTTTACTTTTTCAATATTGCTTTTCAAAATTCGTTTTGCGAAAGTAGAAGCCAAGGAAAAAGACGTTAAGTAAATCTTTAAAATGATCAGAATTGCGAACGTCCTTTTCAAATGAACGTTATGAAAATCTTTTAAAATGACAGCAGAAAATTTTACTTATAAGCAAATTTATAGTTTTTAAAGTTTAGCCAAACACGAGAGAAAAGGCGGAATAATAAAGATATATTTCCATGCTCACCAACACAACAATTTTTGGGGGCAGAGCGCGTCGGATTGAGTTTTGCCAATTTTCAAACAATAAAAACATTTGAGGGTTTCGCTCCATAAAATCCCCCCCAAATCTTTACCCGAACCATATAAAATTCAAAATTTCACATCCCAGTTTTTGTTCGAATTTCCCCCTTCCTGTTTACTTCATATCAAGTAGCCAGGAATTCCTATTTTTCTTGCCGGGAACAATTACAAAATGGTGCGAACGGTAAAACGGGAGTTGATCGACACTCGAGGAAACAGTACTAGGAGCACCAGAACCAGTGCACAAGAAATACACGAAGCATCAGGTGCCAACGAGAATTGTGATTCTGTGGGAGCCGAAGATAATAATATCCAACGCAGAGTCCTTCGGTCGAAATACCTTACCGTTAAGAATCGGATAAGCGGTAATTTGATTTTCCACGATTTTAGCGATTTCTCTGTTTATTTTCGTATTTTCAATTTTAGGAGCTCTTAGTTTGAATATCCGGATGAGATCATAATGTCTCTGTTTTGTTTGAAATTGTTTAATTATATTACTTTGTATTTATTGTGAAGAAATTGATGAAATCTCGCATTGCACAAATTAAGCATATGGTTGAAGTACCTTTATCATATTTTTGTTTACTGGTTGCAAAGTGAGAACCTCTCGCCCTTGATAAACGTTACTCTGCATTTATTTTTCAGGATTTTGCATGGTAATCCTTGGTGTTTACTGTGAAAATGGGATACCGTCGTTATAGAAATTGAGCTTTTCTACCGTTTTATGCATTTTTTTAAGACTGAAAAATCAACAGATAAGGTTGATTTTCTGCTGTTAAATTGATATCTTCCCATTGATGATTTTTTCTCTTGTTATGCAGATGAGAAAGATTGTATATCAAACGTTGATTCAGATAAGTTCAAATCAATAATTGAAGAGGTTGATAGCTTACATCAGCTAGGTAATGTTGATCTTATTTGCTGATATTTATAACATGAATTTTAAAGGTTTGTTAATGTGCGTCTTACAGTGATTCGAATCTATTAGAAAATTGAGGATACATTTCGGTTTTTCTTAAATTTTTGTTCCATTTGGTTTGCTAGTAAATTCAGCTATCTAGTCAACAGTGTCAGAATCCAACATAGTTGCTGTCATCTTAAAAAATTTATTACGTTTTCCATACATAGCTATTTACGTTCCTTGGCAGAAAAGAATAATGGGAATAAGTTTGTAATATATAATCCTTTTTATCGGGTATAATGAATACTTTGCATTTGTTTAAATCACAATTCTCTTCCTGTTTTAGGAAAGAAAAGTGGTGAATGCTTTTTAAAATTATTTATGAGAAAATTTGAATTTCTAATTTTCTTTTTGATAAGCTGGCACCTTATTTGTCCATTCAAGTAAATGTACTCTTTTTTGAATTTGCACTCATGTTTTTTATATCCTCTGTTCAGTTACAAAACCAAGGGAACAAGTAGCAGATGCAGAAGCCCTGTTTGACATCACAAACACCTTGGTTACCTCTGTGAAAGCATATACCAATGAAGGAGTCACCCCTTCAGATTTTGTTACTTGTCTGCTTAGGGATTTCGGGCAACAAGGTGGTCCGGGTAGTAGCCAAGATGAGGGCAGGAATTCAATACGTTGGAAAGACATTGGTCTAGCTGTCTCTCATGTGTTCAGGAGTGCTTATGGGTGCCGTACGATGTAAACTTCGCTATTATCCTTTCTCCTAGGTGTGTTTTCAAATATATTTTGCCTCAAATTATTGAAATATACATATGTTTCCATATATTTTTGACAGGCTTGGACCTATGAATACTGAATTGAAACAACGCAAGAATGTTGTTCCTAGAAAGCGCTCAAAACCAGTGGAAAGAGCTCAGCCTGAAGAGGTTAAATATATTTGCCTTTTTTCTCTGTGAACTTGTTATAGTCCTTCAAGTTATCATTCAAGCTGGTTATGAAGTGGTTGATTGGAAATGAGAAATACTGATGATCAATCTAATCTTTCTAAAATGAATTATGCATCGACATTGACCCGAAATGAACTTGATACCTACTGCATAAGTATTCAACACGCATGCTGTAGTTTTGAATATTTATTTCTGTATTCTCATTTCTTTCTTCTAATTTCTTAAGTGCGGTGATTACCTATTTTTCTCTTTTGAAAAGAAACAACTGCTCTCGATTGGATCTTCAAGCAGTTGCATTCTAGATGGAAGGAAGAATACACATTGACTGTAAACTTAGAGCGTGTTTGACAACCATTATTGTAGAAAAAAGAATTTTGAATAGTAATTTTTAGGATAATGTATAGTTAAAATGTAGGGAAAAGTTTTGGGTATACGCGTCGAATATTTTATTGTATGAATGTGTTGTTGAAAATGATCATGTAGCAAACCATAAAATAAATTAAAGGGTGTCAAAGAGGCACTTAGTGAAGTTTAATTAGACAGTTATTCTTACTTCCACCTGCAAATTTAGTTTTACTTTAAATGAGAGAGATTAATTGTTTTTCTGACATTTCCTCTAAATTCTGCAGCTTGATGGAACTGCTACTGAGGAGAAAACTGACACCGATAAAAATATGGCAACAATGTTTGATATCCTAAGGAAGAATAGGAGAGTCCATCTTGAAAATTTAATATTAAACAGGAACTCCTTTGCACAGACCGTGGAAAATTTATTTGCTCTATCATTTCTAGTTAAAGATGGACGGGCTGAAATAAAAGTGGATGAGAAAGGCTGCCATATAGTTAGTAAGATTCTTTGTGCATAATTCATGTAGATTCTTTTCTTTCTGGCATTTGTTTCCTTTTTAACTTTGAGTCATTATTTCTTTCAGCTCCAAAGAATGCTCCTGATGCCAATGCAGTTCAAGCTGGTGATGTCTCATACAGCCATTTTATATTCAGATTTGACTTTAGAGACTGGAAGGTACTTTGAAAAGTAGCAGACGAGGTTTTTCCTGTTAGGCACCCAAAAAGTGTCTGTAGTTGTTTATTCTGGAAACTTTGATGACTAGCCTCTTTGTTTTGAGGTCATTCGAAGTCATACATGCCGAATTCCTTTATTTGGTGCAAAAAGATAAATTAGTAGCAATTTAATTTCACTTCTTTACTTGTGTTCTACTCAAATTCATCAATTATGTCACATTATTTTGTAAAATTCAGATATTGCTATAATTTTGTTTTCTACTGTATAGTCTATATTTGCATTTGAAATGTTATATTTGACCTTACCTTTGTACTTAACTTTACTGAATCCAAAATTTTATTGTCTTATTATGTAGTTTAGTGTCATAATTTCAGTTTGAGTTTCTTATAAATTTCTTGTTGCTGTTTAATCAGTTGATGCTGTCCTCTGTTGCGGTGGGAGATGAATTAATGCCACACAGGAATACAGTAAACATATCAAGTAGTACTCAACCATCTTTTGAAGAAGCTCAAGCAGCATTGCCTACTACCCCGATAAGAAAATTGTGCAGGAACCGAGGTCTGGTCATGCAGGAGCACACAGTAGTTGAAGACTCTCCTCAAAGTGGAGATTTAACTGGGGTGGCAGCAATTCGCAAGGGAAAGAGAAAGCTTCAGTGAAAAGGTAACAGAAACTGAATGCAACCATCATTGTCTTTCAAGGAATGCTTCTTGTTAAATAGCTTTTTGGTTGAAGAATATTTTAAAACTGAGAGCTGCCAAATTATGAATGTCTAAATTATAGTTCATCCTTGTATATAAGCTAGTATTATCAGTGTAGTGAAAGCCTGCAGTTTGCATGTAATCCGCTCTAAACTTATTAGTGACTAAATGGACATTTATGTTGAAGCTTGCCATTGTGATATATTGGATGCATATAACTTAAGCCACAAGGTGTGAAGTGACACCATGATTTGTAAAGATTTTAGGTAGGAAGGCGAGTTTAGGGCTATTACTGTAAACACGAGAGCAAAGTGTGTGAGAAATTTTATTTTTCTTTACACATGGCACCATCAATTCTTTTGATTTCCACAACTCACTTTCATATTACTGTCTAGATTGTGCCACTTAAGAGGAATGTCAACCATAATGTAAAGTAAGATGTACATCTATATTAGTCAAATAGGTATTGGGTATTGGTATAACGATGTTGATAACCAGCATTGGTACACCTGGGAACATTGGAGTTCCTAAACTCGTCCCCCCAGTGTTTGTACCGGGAGAGTATGTGGACCCCACCACACCATGAGATGGATATTTTGTCCCAACAGTACTGGTATAGTCGGTGCTGATGGTGGTGCGTCCAGTACCACTGTGGATGCATCGCCACCATGAGTTCCAGTTGAGTAGCTGGTGGTTCTGCTTGCTTTAGCTTCATGCTTCTGGCGCTTGGCCTCGGGGATTTTTNCGAGGCTCGTGTGCATCTTTACGAATTTCTGATCACGTCACGCAGGATGGGTACTGATCCGACGGTTATTATCTTTCTTCAGGGTATGTTAGAAACTTTAATAGTAAAAAATAAAACACGTTTATGTATTTATTTAAAGTTTGTACTAAAATGATGGGTGTAAAGTTATAAATTACTAAAATTATAATGTGATATAAATGAGTTGGGAATAAATAGTTAGTATTTATGAATCTTAAGAAATATATGGTTAAAATTACTTTTTGATTTTGAAATGTAAATTATAAATTACCTCTACACATTATTTATTAATCAATTATTCCAAAATGTATTCTTTGACAAAAAGGAGGCTCAAATAGGCGCTTAATGTATTCAAAATGAATATAGGCTTAAGTATCCCCTATCAGAGCCAAACAAATAAATATGTAAGTACAATATAAATTAGAAAATAATTGTTATTCCAACTAAAAGAAAAATTAATTATGTGTGTATTGGAAATTTTTTAATTTAAAATTTAAGTTTATTATATTTTGATTTTTAAACTACACATTATGTAGAGCTCACCAAATCTACTAATTTATCTGTTATTTATTTTTAATTTATTAAGAGCATGTATGTCTCTTATTATGGGAGAAATTATAGAATTCTGAATGGTATTTTTTAGTGAATGTGTGATTAAAATTTAAAGAAATTTTATTAGTTTGTGTATAGAATATTTTATTGTGTGAATGTGTGATGAAAAATGTTATTATAGCAAACAATTTAATTTATTAAAAGATGACAAATAGGGGCTAAACTTATAAACAAGGGTAATTAATACAAAATGTTCCTACCTTTCATAATTTTTGTGAAAAACGTTTCTACCTTTCGTTTTTTGGTGCATTTCATCCATACCTTTACCTTTTCTTGTGGAAAATATCATTTTCATCAATTTTCTCAATAAAAGTTCTAAAATGACTAATATACCCTTCTATTTAAAAAAAAATACAGAATTAATTGCAATCATAGTTCCAATTTTTAAAAAAGTTCAAAAGAGGAGGTGGAGGTGGAGAATTTTTTTATTTTTTTATTTGGAATTACGGTTGCATTTAGTTTTGTATTTTTTTATTTAAATAGAATGGTATATTAGTCATTTTAAAGTTTTTTATTGAAAAAAATGATGAAAAATATGTTTTGCACAAGAAAAGATAATGATGAAATGCGCCAAAAAACGAACAGTAGGGATGTTTTCCACAAAAATCATAAAAGATAAAGACATTTTGTGCTAATTACCGTATAAACAACTAATCACAAACGAGCAATGAGATTTGATTGTTGGGATTACGATGGCTCCATTACTGATCAAAAACCGTACCACCGGCTGTGGAATTCCGTATCAAATTAAGATAATTGCAAGAAGACAAATGGAAAAAATAAGTAAATTTCTTATAAATAAAAACAGAGTGAGATACATAAGTAATTTATTAATCAAATTTAAGAGGGGCAGGCCAAATATATTTCACGTATATTGACAAGACAATGAACATCGTTTTTATTTATATTTCTTACTTAATTTTATTCCATTTAGCAAATTAAACAATGCCCTTAATCTTAACATGATTTTGGATAATTTTCCCTGTGTCATACCAAATAAGAACTTGCTTATATTACAAGCGAGATCAATTCTTTTCCTTCTGCGTTTTGATGAACACACATCTAGTGCTCGATCTTCACAGGGAATTGTCTTTGTTTATAGACACAAAATTGGACATGAAACATTGGATAATTTTACATGAACATTATCGTATCCATAATGGTGTCCATAATATAGATGTGGAATTCCGTGATTGGAAGGTTGAAAAAATTGTTTTTCAACTCTTCAATAATACTATGTCACTTGTACATTATGGACAATCTTACATTATAATGTACATGTAACATAACCCTGAAGCATTGAGTTCTATACTTTATTGTCACTCTTCTATAATAATTATTAGATTAGGGTTCATAAAATTCTTGCCCCAATTTAATAGACAGCTTGAATATTTTCTTTTTGAAGTTTTCTCAATTGTCAAACAAAGTTCTATTCCCCTCAGGCCTCAGCTATATATATAAACATTCCTCTCTTCTGTTCCCAAGACCACACTTTCCATCAAATTCCCCCTACTTTCTCTGTGTATTAAATTTGCATACAAACGTGTGTGTTCATAGTTAGATTAAAGGGGCCATGGAAAAACAAACTTTTGCCTCAACCTCAAACATGACTCCACCAGCACTAGCCCTGCACAACCATTCTCAAACAATATCTAAAGCCATGAAGCCGAAAATTCGCATAATTCACGTATTTGCACCAGAGATCATCAAGACTGATGCTGAAAACTTCAGAGAACTGGTGCAAAGACTCACTGGAAAGCCCACAAACAGAAAAAAACCCAGAAAAATTCCAAGCAATAAGAATCCAAGAATTTTGCCTATGGCTCCCAATACAGCTGAACTAGCCATCAGAAGTGGATTTAATGCACCAGGATTTAGAGAGAGAATAAAAGGTGAAGAAGAAATTTGGAGAAGTGCAAATTCAGGAGGTGGTTTCTTGAGTGGTTTATCAGAATTTGAGGGGTTCATGCAAGAGGTTAATCAGTTTCCATTGGAAGGTCTTCAAATGGATGCCTATGGAGAATCCCAACTTGCCTAAGATTGGAATGGTGTGGATTAATTATTCAATCTTTAATTAATCTTTTAAGTTTTAGAATCAGATCAATTCTCCATCTTCTTGTAAATATTTAAAATTTACTTGGTTCAAGTTATATCGAGTATATATCCAATTCTCATTTGCATTTGATGGTTACCAGTTTTCTGTTTTAGTTGATTTATTTTGTCGTTGCTCCATTTGGATTTTCTAAGCAACTGAATTATTTACATTAGTTTTTCTCCATCTTCTTTCACTTGGATTTTGCACGTCGGTTTTGTTTCTATATATTGTCTGATATAGTTTTTGCTATAGACTATAGTCAATCTCTCTCTCTCTCTCTCTCTCTCTCTCACAGCCACTCAGACAAAACAAGAATGTAGTTCTCTTTACACAGACAAATAATTGACTATCAATCTGGCGAGACGAATCAAATTATCATGAGAGACAAAAGCTCAAATTCGACTAATTTAAATGTTTAAAATCACACAGACAAAAATTGTTTGACGTGGTATATAGTTGGAATTATGCCGGAAGCCATCTTTTTATTACCATCTTGCCTGCCAGAGCTAAAAACCATGCAGGCTTTGGCCGTTGAGATTACTTACAGCCAGAGAGTCCAAGGAAATCCTTCTGGCGAGGCCCGCTCTGTAATCCACACGTTTCATGGAACCACAATTTTTATCAACTTTTCAACCACAATTTCATCAAAATTTACTAAAAATATGTTATTTTTTTAACAAAATCAAACGGGGGGCATAACAATGGCGTTCTTGCCTTACAACATTAAAACAAGGCTAATTCACAGGTTGCCCGCTCCAGTGTATCCAAACTCGTGCATATCCTTAGCCCTTCGTTATAGACCCTACCTCTCGATTATTTATAATTATCCATTAAAAAAACTGTGATACTTGAAATATTTGATAGTAACGCAACCAATTCTCTCAAAAGCTGCATCTAGTAGGGAAGGCGCAGTTAAGTACTTCATCATTCGATTAGTCTCAGAAGTCAATCATTAGATCTCGATTTATGTTACCAACTGGTGGTGTGATACAATGAATTCTCTCAAAACAACGATGTTAAATGTATAGACAAATTAGCCAAATAGATATACATAATGCCAAATGACAACATTTCATTGGAGTTGGGACAAAAATCAAAGTTAAAACAGCCAATTAGGTGCTGATATGTGTTCAATTTATCGGTACAAATAGATTTATTCCTCCCAAAAATTGCAGGAAGCAGGAGAGGCTGATACATGAATCCTCCTCAACTGCTTTTTGGATCTTTCATCGAAAGTCTTTTACGAGATAGACCGTCCTCGTATTCAAGTGGTGCTATACATCAACTTTATACCTCATTAAATCCTATTTCTTGCACTTAATTATTTAAGTACAGAAGGAACATAGTTGTATTGTATATGACAGCCAAGTCAACGCGACTGAAAAGAATAGATGCATTCACCTACATATACAAAAATACAGGCACGAAGTCAAGTATCCATTCATAATTAGCAATTCATTGTGCTTGGCATCTGAAGCCTAATTATATGATTAAATATATTAATCCAACAGTGTTGACAAAGGCTTAAATTAAGAACTCAGCTTTAAACAAATTTAATCATAATTCCCTTCCATGATAGGGAGGCATTGAAACCATCCCAAACACTATTTATTCATTATAATAAAAATACAATTAGCTTTATCAATATTTGATAACTTCCTATTTGCATTTTACAGGGTCAACCAACCTAACAATGAAAATATATCATGGGAAAATAATAAACATAAAACACATCCAGGATATGTAGTGAACTGGAATGTACCATTAACAAAATTTTAACTTATTTTTCTTCTTTATTAGTTTTAGTAAAATAAAATTCAATCCATCCTATCAAACAAGCAAAATCAACTACTCCCAAGTCTATGCGAATGGCATTTATAAAAATGGAAAGTTTTACAAATTCTTTCAAAGATAGAATAAATCAGTCAATTTGTATTATTACAGAAACAAGAGGGAAACAAAAATGGAGGAAAACGAAAAAGGGAAAGCCAGAGCAGCAGTGTTTTTCTCCCCTTAGTCAAGGTGGTCGAGATAATTGTGATTATACTCCTCAATGCAATTTAAACGCCTTCAACTTTCATATTCTGTTATTGTATCCGCCAAGGGCAATGGTGCGGCATCTAATCTTGTAAGGACTTCAGGTACTCCAGCAGTATCCCTTATTATCTGCATTCAGGGAGGAGCCCAAATATCATTAAATGCCATGAGAAAGATGAATGCATCATGTTCTAACAGGAATGAGAGTTTAAATCATGATTTCAGACTGTTGATCCTTTGATTCAGTAAAGATTTGGCTAAGGATAGAAAATCTTCTTTTTAGATTTTCAAAAGTCTGACAGAGAAATTCGAGAGACATACTATTTTCCTCAAAGTGCTTGTTTTCCTCGATTCGATAGCAAAAAATACAGTATATCACTTTCATGTCCTCTAGCCCTTGTTTGAGCCCCATTCTTGACAAAAAAATAAAAATTGCATTTTTGAAAATGTGTAGTTAAAAAATAAAGAAAAATTTTAAATTTACGTGTAATATTATTTTAATGAAGAATGTGTGGTTGAAATGTGATCAAATCACTGTCGAAGAATGTATTTTGATAAAAATAATGGGGCTTAAACAAAGGCCTAATATCCAAAGCATGAAATAGCTATCCACAACTTGTCTTTGAAGCATCAACGGATCTCCAAAAAGTCGGGATTTACAACTATGAACCCGATAAAATAGTATTATACGCACATTTTTACGATTCTAACGGTATCAAAAGATACCTTTTAAACTGCTAAATTGTTGATAACGACAGCTAAGACTTACCAGGATCTCTTCGTCCAGATAAGAAATCAAAAAAAGCCTCTGAAATGTTCCACCTGAGGTCAAAAGAGTGACTAAGAATAAGTTTAATAAACAAGGACACAAAACTAGAAAAACATTTATCCTCAACATTCCATATATTTCCTTCAAGTAAAGTTACAATAAAATTTCTCATCTTCATATTGTAACTTCCCGTAACATTGTACGGCAATTAAGGAATGAATTATTGTAAAATTTTCCCTTGACCAGATCTATCGGTATTTACAAATTACAATTATTGGTTACCTTATTTAAACTTCATAAACTTTCATTTTTACTATATGAAACTATTCACCACATAGACTGACTTGCGCATCAGGAGGAGGCACTCAGACGTGTAATGTTGCCAAAAGTCACAAAGCAACATCAAAAGATTTTTGCACATTTGAAGTGTGTGGATATGATGACAACAACAACAATGTGCAGTACACAATTAAAACATACACGGACTTGTGCCTATGGAAGAAGTTTAACCTTTTTTTAAAATTACACTTACAAATGAACAAAAATAGAAAGCCACAGATATCAGTAATGCTTACCAAGAGGAATCTTGACTCCACTGGCCATAGTGTCCCTAATAGAAACAGGAAGTTGTTGCACTGTGCTAGCTGCTTGAACAAAAACACTTCTCAATTGTTGAGGTATGTTTTCTTCGTAAATTTTTGGAGATTCAAATATCCCTTCAACATATTCCTCTTTCATTCGCATTGGCCCCTCAATAGATAACCTGGTGGAAAGAATAAAGTTGCTTTCTATCTGCATTTCAACAGGAATATTTGCTAATATACGCAAAACATGATACCAGTCAAATATAGAAAAAGTAATATGTGGTTCTATACTCTTAGTCTTGCTAAGAATTATGATGTATTTAGAGACAGTGATGAAGTTAAAAGTCCACTCCTTTTCACTTCCTCTCACTCTGTTTAAAATTTTAAACTGTTGTCTCCATTCGACTATCTTCTGGATGGGGAAGGGGACGTTAGTGGTTAGGGAAAGAACCTTGGGAAATCTAGAAAAAGACGAAAAAAAATGCTAAACAAAATAATTTTGATGCTCATTATAGTACCAAGGTTGTTATCACTAGTTTTTATCTCATCGATGAATCAGGTTTAAACACATATAAAACCGTCCATCATGCCATAATTTAGAGTTTATATTGTTTACAAATCATTTGATGCTATTCTGACGGCTTATTTACAGTTATGTCTCTGAATCAACTCGTCCCCCTTTATCGGTATGTATTTATGTCTCATCCCACAGATACAAAATATGATAATGGCTTATCTTCTCTTGAAAGAGGAAAAAGGAACATTTGTTCTTACTTCTTAGCACTAAAAGGTTTGTTATGCCTGTTCTCACAGTGAAACAGGCAACCCAGAAACCAAAATAACAGGGTGGTAAAAATTCCTCAAAAATTATTCGATCGTCTTATATTAAGGAAAGGGTTCATGTCCATAAGTAACAAAATATGTAAAGGTCCATTGGAAAAGAAATCTATTACCAAGTTCAATAATTTCATATTTGCAGCAATATTTGCATATTCATCCTTGATCATCACATCCAATTTTGATAAGTTTGCCAATGCTGAAGGAAACCTCCTGCAAAAAACCGAGAGTTGCATCAATATTATAACATAACAGGAGTCTTACAATTTCAATTCAGAAGGGGAAGGTCGGGAAACAAGAAATTGCGTTCTCTAGCTGCAGATTATTTTGCTACTTATCTTCTTCGCCTTATATTTAGTCAGTTGATTATTTTTGAAGAAGTCTGTTGCTCTTCTCCAATATACTAACCTATATCTACTTTCCCTCCAGTTAGTTCTAGTGAGAGGAGAATTCTCAGTTGTATTAGGAGGGAGACCAATCAAATAACACTTAAAAATGAATCAAAATTTATTTTTTGTAATCACTGTAAAACAAACATAAAACAAGATAAAAACTTACTCAAACAAAAAGCGAGCCGCAAGGAACCCTGGGCTTCTCGATCCAAACCACTCAAAATTCCACTGACCTTCTAGATAAGGAGACCTGAAGAGCTGAAAGCACGAAATGAAAATCTTCTGTAGAAGCTGTTATACACCGACTTAACTTTGAAAGAATAAACACATTACGTTGTTGGTCGAGGCGTTGGATTGAGTCGTTCAAGGCTAACAATTCTTTCATTCACGTCAATGCATTGCAACTCTGTTGTTTTTCCTGTGATTAAAGCTTCAAATCCCCCAGCATCTTTGAACTGAAATACATACTATGGTTAGTTAAATAATACATTACTTTGTCCATTAGTCATCAAGGAAAATGAAGATAATTAACACAATTTATTTCCTCAAAAATATCAAACTTCGGATTCTCAGCATGATGAAGAGAGTTATTTCTCAGTACTATATTCCTAAATTTATTAAAAGATTAAGGAGAAATCTAATTGTACGCCATACTATCAGATTGAACTTTTAGGCAAATTACATCGAAAAAAGGAAAAAAAACATTTATCTTTCAAAATTGAATAATGAACACAGAGCACAGGATTATAGATACGCATTTATTAAGAAAAATACAGCAAAAAATAAATAAATACAGAAACCAGACCCAAATTTTCCCTTAAAAAATTACAGAAATGAGAAGCCCATAATTAATAATATAAAATTAGGAATTTCCAGGAAAAAAAGAGTCTGAAGAAACTCACAGCGAGAAGAAGAGATTCTTTAGCAGAGAGCCTTTCCATTTCCTTAGCATAAGCAGCCGAAGGTCCTTGTACAGTCTGCTGAACCATTGCTCTGCATCTTTTGATAACTTTCCTCTTTCTATTTCGAAATTTATCGTTTTTGTTAATTTCAAGAACTGGAAAAAAATTGGAAGAAGGTGAATGTAGTTTGGGAGTAAGTAAAAGGGTTTGAACTGAAATTGAACAAGCCATTGAAAATGGAAATAATACAGAATAGAGAATAGTAAAAGATATGCTGCAGAACTATTGAGACAGGAACTGATTGAAAAAGAGTTAATTTAATTAATGATCACAAAACTTTGTTATAAGTTACTATTTCATCACCGAAATTTAAAATGTAACTCTTTACTCATTAAATTTTGGTATAAATTATTATTTGCTCATCAAAATTTAAAAATTACTTATTGCTAATCCAAATTTAAATAAAGTTATCCATTAATTAGTTATATTATTTCCATGAGTGTTACCTATTGCAAAATTTAATGAGCAATGAGTACTTATATTCAAATTTAAGTGAGCAATAAGTAATCTTGTAAATTTCGATGAGTAAATAATAACTTATAGTAAAATTCAATGAGCAACAAGTAACTTTTAAAAGATCGATGAGCAGTTAGTAACATATAATAAAGTTTGGTGATCATTCATTAAGTTAACTCGATTGAAAAAGAATGAGAAGATACACGCTTTTGCAGTGTGCTGTGACTAATGTGTGAGCATTGGAAGGTTCGCTGTCTCATTTGTGACTGGTGAAGCTGTGGATAGGGGCATTTCCGTCCAAATATAGGATTATAGATTAGGTGGGTATATTGATAGTTTGATGCCATAATTTCTACTATTTTAATTATATTCAAGGCTCTCAATCTTTTCATGTTGTACCATTTATGTTCTTTAACATTTTCTTTGTCTAATTTTTATCGTCAAACTTTCATTTGTTAGCATATCTCATTGTTATGATAATTTATATCAAAATAACCTATTTGAAAAAAATTTGGAAATAGCAAAATATTTTATCGTACTTTTATATTTAATAATTTTAAATATATTAGGCAAATAAGTTTTTATACGCTCTCCAAATGAACTTTTTGAACAAAAATCTTAGCATAGATGATATATTCTAAATTTCTAATTAATGAAAGATTGAAGATAAAAAAAACTCAACAATAAAGTTAAAGACATAATTACTATAATGACAAACTGTGAGGATCTTGAGTGCAATTAAAATATGATGCAACAAGGAAAAATTATAGTCTAATAATAGTGTAAATTTCATATGTGTTCTCTGAGCTTTAACAAAGATTTTCGATTGAGCCTCTAAATTTTAATGTCTCAATTGGTTCACTAAACTTTAATTCAATTTCAACTTTCACCACAATGTCGTATTTCGTCACCTTCGTCCCCAAAATGAATAAAATTGCTTAGTTGTTACTTGTTAACCCATATGATCTTTTACGAAATTACTACGCAGCACCTAGAAACAAAACTAACAATTGAAGGTTAAGAACAATGTGCTTAGATTAAAAGGGTAAAATGCATAATATAAACGCTTCTTCATGTGGTATAGTAATAATGGCACGTCGGGATTACATGGATGATACGTGACGATTCAATTAATTAATTTTCATTGATTTGAAAGGCGTCAGGCGACAGAGTGGTCAAATTTAAAATTTAATTGAAGTTCAACAATCCAATTAAAACTAAATTAAAGCTCAATGACCCCATAAAATCAATTAAAATTTAATGATCCAATTGAAATCTTGCAAAAAGTTCAAATACAACAAATAAATTTACACATATTTATTATGACCAGATTATCTCGTTTACAATTTGATCTCATAATCTTTAAAAGAGCAATTTAATATCATTATTTACACTATTAGTCTTAATAGAAGAGGAGCTAAAAATGTCTTACAAGAACCATTTGTACAACGAAATTGAAACGAAAGAGACCAATTTAGAGGATAAAATTACTACAAGCATTAAAGGTTAGGGGACAAGTATCGTAATTTTCTGTGTTTGAGCTACATTATTTTTAAAAGAATATATTTTGAAATAGTAAATTGATGAATAATACGTTTTTAAAAAATAAGGACATATTTTGAATTTACGTATAATATTATTTAATTGAAGTATTTGTAATTGAGATAATGTCAAATCAATGTTTAAGAATATATATATTTTTTTCCATCGGGCTATGATTACTTTGTAAACGTGTGAACAACAAAGCAGAAAGTACAACATTTTAAACGAATTGAAAGACATTACGCATTTAGAAGTTGGGCCACCCGGTCCGATCCGGATCCGGCTTCATTAGCTGTAAAGGTGAGCAGCATTACATGGACACTGTCCCTGTTGGACAAAATAGGAAAATGCTACTGTCACCAGCTTCTATTTACAGGAATTTGCATCTTGCACGTTATAATTAGTTTTCTTGTTTGCATAGAAAACAATGCACCTCTCTTCGGTGTTCCATGTGAGTGTATTGTATTCTACTTGCTTAAAAATTCGCCTGTCATGTTGTTTTGTAGATTTGGATTTATAAGTATGCTGAATAGTTCATTCTTACAAGTCGGCTTTATATGTAAATTCTATCCAGCAGTGGTTGTTAATTGGTATTAGAGCAAGCACCATTTTTAAGGGATCTGTTGAAAATTTACTTAATCATGCACAATAAAAAATAAAATAAATTTCAAGGGAAAAAAAATCAAAACCTAGGCATATAGTTTACACCACTTCAAAAGTCAGGTGCATAGTTTAAAAATTTAAATTTAAGGTATATATATAATTAATTAAAAATATTTAATAGATAAATATAATAAAATCGTAGTTATACAATTAATGATCATAGATTCATAATTATATATCACAATTTATTTATTGGTCATATATTATCAAATTAATTAGTCATAGATTATTTCGTGGTGACAAATAAATTTTTTTATAGGTCACAGTTTATTTATTAGTCACAGATTTTCAAATTTATTATATTTCAGTCACAAGTTATCAAATTTTAAAATCACGGTTTAATATTTGGTCACAGATAATTAAATAATTGGTTACGCAAACTAGATGGTGTGTCACGCACCGCACCAACACTGCCACTACCACCACCGTCACGTGTGACGACCCTCACCCTGCGTCCGTCGCCAAGCACCACAACACCACCACCATCGTCGCTGCCATCACCAACTGCTACAACTACCTTCGACTGTTGCCACCATTGTTAATACATCCACTTACACCGTGACACAAAATCGTCGCCAGATCCATGTCGTCGTCGTCGTCGCCATCACCACCAGCAGCTCCACCATCACATACATCGCCGCTACATCCTACTCCAACAAACCACCCACCATCTCTACCTCTAATCAACAACCGTACCAACGCGGCCTGCTAAAATCACCATCTCTCCCAACGTACCACACCATAGTTGCGCACAAAGCAGAAAAATCCCTAACACGGAGGTGAGCCATCACCGCTTGCAACGTTGATGCACAAAAAGGAACACGAAGCGACAACGTCCAATACGAAGGAGAATGTTGCTGTGCCTTGAAGATTGGTTAGAGTGGGAAATTTGGGGATTGTGAGATTAGTATGAAAAATGGATCATCTCAATGTGATTCAGTGAAATTTGGGTAGGGACGGCCTTTCGACTCTTCGGCCTCGCTCGAGGCTCGAGCTAAGCTCCATTTTGGGAGGATGGGCCGGGCCCGAGCCGGCCCACGAGCCTTTAAAAAAAAAAAAAAAAAAAAAAAAGAAGACATCTTTGTGTTGATTTTGTTCGAAAGGCCCTTCTTATTCTGATGGCCTGGCCTGGTCAGTACCTAGCCGGGCCCCTTTTTTTGTTCCAACGAATTATAGATAAATAATGATTTATTTGATTTGAAAACAAAAATCCTTTTTATTTATTATATTCAATTGAATATAAAATATTCAAGCAACAACAA